TCTGTCTCCCCGGCATTGATTGATTATCATTATAATTTTGGACATGTACGACATCGAATGTGATCTATGCCATGACATGTCCATGTGGTCATTATGATTATATTGATTCAACAGCAAAAACATTGGCTCATGCTATGGCTTGTAAATATAAATTTTCTTACGATAATCATGAGCATGCCTTTATTTCTCTTCTTCTTTTTCTTATGATATACAGATCATCGAGAACATGGCAACAGAATTATACATGAAAAATTAACTGATAGTCCTCTATTTCGAGGATCACAAATCGATCCTAATGAGAGAGAGAGTAATAAAAGACATTCGATCATTCTTTCGATTACACTACATATTCCCTATTTTGTTTTCCATTATTGTAGAAAACAAATGGCAAATTAGATGCGTCTCTATCAACATTCAGCTCGATGTCCAGCAGCACTTCGTTCATTTCTTGATTGCAATCCTATGTATTGGTGTTTTATTCCTCTACCTTGGGATGAAGCAGTAGCAGAAAATGCTGCTAATCGTCCAGGAACTTCTACTACAGATCCCAATCTGGATGCTCTGATAGCAACTACTGCCGTAAACAATCGTAGGGTGGCTAATTATCTAGATAATGTACCATTACCACCAACTCCCTATGCCTTCTCATTTCGACAGCTAAAACAACAGCGTCTATTTTTCGAACGATTTGTTACTTCTTCCATTCATTACCGGCCTTGTATCAAATTGAATTTGTATAACATAGCAATTATTGCCGTTTGTAAGTAAATCTATCTTTATCAACCACATCATCATCATCATCATTATCATTTATACCTGTTTTTCTTTCATATTGATTTAGTACCAGATGATTGTTCAATGATACTACGATACATCATCGAAACATTATTCATTATTCATGGTGAAACTAAATTGAATATGATTTGTCCACTTGGTGGTGATGCTGAAAAACGTTACGGTCGTCCGTATAATCTACATTGGTGTGCTAATTTGAATCGTTCATCAATGTCAACCACGACATCAACTCAGTGACATTTTAAAACTACAATGGTCACTATTATAAAATAACATTTAATCAATATAAGCAACTTTATTTACCTCGTAGATAATAGTTAATCTTTAATGTTTGTAATATATGTGTGAAATACTTAATCTAACATTAGTAAAACATGATTCTGCACTTCCTCTAATATCATATTCATATATTGTTCCATTCTAGATAAGTATAATCTTCGATGGACATTTAATAGTTTACATGCTAAACGGAACAAACGCATGACATTCTCGTCCTAAATCAAAGCACATCACCACCAAATACAAGAAAAATCAACCGACGACCTATTCGCATCTATCTAGGCTTTTGAGACAAGCACTTGACTCAAACAAAATATGAATCGATACTACAAAAACATGACTCCACTCGCTCTTACTCAGCCATCACAACGGCAACAATACCACGTACGAAACACTATCCAGCATAAACCAACATTATCAGTGGAACTCAAATAAAAGAAAACCACTACCAAATAAAATTACCAGTCACTTCCAAGAGGATTTTACATATTCCAAACCAAATATTTCACCTTCCCACAAAAATTGACCGTCGAACACAATATTGTACAAAACTTCTCAATAGACGTATAAAAACCGATTCATTCCAAAACACAATCATTCCACGACACAAAAACTACAAGCAACTATAAGATACAAGCTCTGAGAAATCTCCAAAAATTATCTTGTTTCCTAAACAACTGATCTAACAGACTAACCCATCAGTATATTTCCAACGACATCACTAATACACCGAAAATCCAACACACTATCCCTCACAATTAAATGTTCTCATATTCTTCACAAAATCAATCATACATACCAGATTAACATTCACACAAATAAAACAAGTTAAATGTCCACTATCAACTTCAACAAATGCTACACTGACGCTGACTTCTCAATCAACAACCAAAGAACAAACAAATTTAACAAACACTTACGATTTCGCCAAAGTCCTTCTCAAAGTACAATGCCACGCTACTACCACGGACTACAATTTTTTTCAAATACTTTCAATAATCAGATTTCTATTCTGGTAACTGTTACACACCCTTCCGTTGGGTTTACGAATTTCATTTTGGAATTCGAATTAGTATCTTGTTTTTGATTCGATTTTTCTATTCAAATTTCGAATCAATTTTAGTACAGATATTTGCCACTTGATAATATTTGTCAGTATAAATTGAAATACAAAAATTTGTATTGTGGCAACTTTTACACACCCTTTTAGATGTTCGTCGAAATTTCATTCGAATTTGGAATTAATATCTCGTTTTTGATTTGAATTCAATATTTAAATCATTCGAACAGATATTTGCCACTTGATAATATTTATCAGTATAAACTGAAATACAAAAATTTATATTGTGGTAACTTTTACTCACCCACCCACACACCCACACCCCTAGTTCAGTATTAATAATAATATATTCGAATTATTTCTTCCTTATTCTTTTTATTCATATTCTTCCAATATGGAGTTATCAATTAAAAACATGTTGTTCAACAGAGAAGATGACGACAACGAATACAACTCGTCTACTCTCATGTCCATTAAATTTTGTTATTAAATTACGTTTAGTTATATTCTATATGGATAATAGTTGTGCACTAAGTTCATGTCAAAGACGATTAAATAAACATTATCTTCTTTGTATTATAATTATCGAAGATGATCAATTTCTATTCAATGTATTCATATGGACTCATCACAATGTTCATGGTTAACGAAAAATCATAATCAATCTGAATATTTTATTATTGATTATGATTGTATTTTATATGAACCTCCAACAAAAAGAAGAATCGAATGAAAATATTGTTCTTTTTTCTGCTAAAGTTAATATTGAATCCCCATCAGATCTATTTAATGATTCATTTCTAACGGATAATGAAGATGAATGGAAAGAATATTTATTTAAAAAATATTTTCATGATCGTGGAAAAACAATAATTATTCAAGAACGACGTTCATTATTAAGTGATATTATGCGAACAATCGTTATTTTAATTATCTTTGCATTTGTTCTGATTATATTTATGCTTATTTCATTGATGATTTATAAACGTTTACAATTCATTAAACGAAATCAAACTAATAAACGTCAACCATTTCCAGCTGATGATGCTTATGATAATTTAAAAATAAGTCCAACACGATCTATTGCTGATAGTGGTACAATAACAGATGTCTGAATAAAATTGAGGTCCTCTTTTTTTCTCTTTAATCAATTCACGTGTGTGTGTCTATTGAAATGTCAAAGTTTATTTACAGTTAATGAAATAATATATATATATATATATGAAAGGTGTGTGGATATATCTTTATTACTTCCGGTCATGATCAAAAGGAAAAAAAATTTCTGTGCGTTGAAGCATTATCGAAAGAGTTCTGTATGATGTAATGGATGAGAAAGAAGAAGGATAAAACAAACAAACATACTCGCTGTTAGATGTGTTAATCTTTTCTTCTGTCAAAACCCTGAATGATCATGTCAACTCTATATCTATTCAGGTCAAATTATCTTCTAGAGATAATCAACCGAAGAAAAAAACTCAATCAAATATACCTTATGTCATCGACATATGAGCTTAATAGATGTTCTCCTTCTCGCATGTCAGTTACTCAATGTTTGATTGATTGATGTAGATCTTTAAGACTAACAAGAGAAATTAGCTTCATTGTCCAAATGTTATCTAAATGATCTTTAATTTCACATGTTCAAGACCATAGTTTGCTTTGTTTATATCATACACCTGTTCAATTGCTTGAAGATATTGATAATGAAGTTGATCGATATCTGTTTGAGATGGATCAATGATTTGATTGACATGAATCGGTTTACCAACTAAAATTCTTTGTTTTTATCGAATCTAATGAGAAAGAAAGTCTTATCTTACCAACGGTCGTTACAGAATGACGAAGAGGCAGAATACCAATGATTGATCGACCCCAAATCCATCGATTTGAAATCCAATTCTTATATCGTCGATAATGTTCATTTTCTCCAAATGTTATAACCGGTACTAATGATGCACTAATAAACAAAACTTCTTCTTTTCTATTCATTCTAATTACATATTCACTAACCCATTTTCTAATGCTAATCGTATAAAACCTTTTCTCTTTTTTAAATAGAATATCATCGTTTGATATTCTGTTAAATACAATTCTCGCATACCACCACACACAATAACAACAGCATTACCTTGAGCAGATGAACCATTTAAGAAATATTGACAACCCTCTCGTGAGACACGACATGCACCTAGAATAACAAAACCTTGAATGATGGATTTATAATGTTATCATTACCCAAGTTAAGCAGTAATTCACGTGCAAATGGAATGAGAAAATTGAAACGAATAATCATTAAATGAGGACGAATACCAGGAAATAGAGTTGAAAAATGTGTTGCTTCTGTTAGGAAATTGACCCCAGCACCGACAGTTAATAAACCATGTGGATGATAACCAAAGATATAATTTCGATTTGGATCAAGATCTTCAGTTTTGATTAATTCTAATGGAAAATAATTAGCAACTATTGACCAAATAGATAATCGACGTAAACAATTCGACCATCGTCCTCCTCGAACATCGGTATATCGATCAATATACATCCAACTACCATAAATCAAACCAAAGAGTAATGTCATTGGTAAAGACCAGAAATAGGATAAGAGAATAAATGTGAACAATGTCACAAAAGGTGAGAAAAGTATGAGCGTAAGAAGAAAGAATAAAATCAAATCTTCAATCAAATTCTTCATTATTATCTAGAATCAATTTCAAGGATTAGAAAAAATCATCAAAAAAAAAATAAACATCATTCATAATGGAAGTGTATAATTTAACGACCGATCATTTTTCATTGCACCACATCGATCATAAACAGCTTGTGCACGATGATTTTTCACCGACGTTTGCCATGTTAAACATAATGCACCATGTTCTCGTGTATATCGTGCACATTCACCAATCAGAAGATCAGCAATATCTTGACCTCGATATGATTGATCAACATAAAGATCTTCCGTTATAACTAGACGATCACCTTTTAATGTCGATCAAGACCAGAAAAGTGTAGCAAAACCAACAGCTTTTCCATCTTGAACATGACGAACAAGTAATTGTATTCCTTCTTGTTTTGGACTTGCAATTAATGCTCGAGATACGGATAAAAGTAGCTCATTACTCGTTCGAGGAATTTCTTCAGTTTGATAATAAAATTCACAATAGCCTTGTCATAATGGTAATAAATCGACTAGATAATTTTCATTGACAATATTTATCTTCCAAGGAGTATCTTCGACGGAGGTCGTCGCCATTTTTGATAAAAAGAAATCCTGTTTGTTGTTTTTTTCTGTTCTTATCTAAATATGAGTAATCGATAAGAGTCGTATGGCATTAGTTAACGAAAGATGTCCTCAATTACCAACCATGTAGCTAATCAAACAGATATATCTGAACTTAGGGGCTGTTCATATATTACGTCATCAGGGGGAGAGGGGATGGGGTTACCGAAAAAGTGACAAGTGATGACGGGGAGGGAGAGGGGATTTTGAGACATGATAGTGTCTGAATTGTAGAAATGTTGAGATTTTTATGCCTAATTATATGATAAAAATATGACATGAGAAATATTTTTCTCTTTCTTTTTCATACATGTTAGTGAGTATTGACTTCTTTAATGCATCAGATATCACAAAAAAAATCAATATTTATACTAAGCTTTGGCATAATAAATATGCAACAATTAAAAGCGACTGCGTCATAAAATATATAAAAGATATGTAACTCACAGTTATCTATTTCAATCAATCAGAATCGAACTGTGCTGATCTGGGTTTTAGTTACAATAGTTTTAGAAACATTTTTAGAACGTCTGAGAAATACGTTGAAATATCTTCTCAGCAAAAAAAACGTGTATTATAAAATTTCCTTCAGTCATAAGGCCAGAATAGAGTTGAACAAGCATCGTCAACAATTGAAAAAAAGATACGTTCATATATATGAGAATGATCTTCAAGATGTCTTCTGCTGTAGCTTCGAATTGCTTCTTTTAGTATTAGTTTCCCCCTAGCTTCATGTACTGAAAGCAGGTGTAGAAGAAGTAAAGATAGGAATGCATTTTCTGAGATCTTCTTTCGCTTTCCACTAGATTTTATAATTAGGGTGTGGGTGTGTGGGTGTGGGTGTGAGTGTGAGTGTGTCTTCTCTTTATCCACACACTACACCCAAACCCACACCCACACACCCACACCCACGGGCGAATCAATTAATGAACACTGCTTGTTTATTGAATCTCGAAAAGCATACGAACAGAAAATCATTAAATATCTAAAACTTAGAGAGAACAAATTAAGGTATCAGGAGCTTATGTTTGATAGCCAGTGCAGGTGTTATTGTTTCATTTGAATTTGAACAATTATCATTTGTCGGTCGATCGACTATTTCAAAATACATTCTCATTCCTCGATAGATTGAAGATTGTATTTGAACTGAATATTGAATAAGAATTGTTGATGAACACAAATATGGATAAGCATATCGTTTAGTACCACAATTTCGATATGTTTGAACACTATCAACAACAGTTACATGATCACTAACACAATTTATACTTAGTGAACTAATATATAGATCACTTAACCATAAACGAATAGTTTTATCGTGTGGTACACGTATAGAACAGAGACATTCGGATGTTGTTATTGGAAATTGTGTAGGATAACCAGGGCTCCTTATGATACCTTGATCACTTGTTATTTCTGTACTATTTTGTTGACATACATTATATTCTTTTGTTGAATCATCCATTGATATTGGTACACAATCATATTCAATATGAACATAACTACTAAATTGATCATTACATTGAGGTAACTTTTTTTTTGTCACATATAGATTACATTGAATTGAATCACTGTTACATGCTACTGTACTCGTCGAATCAGCAATACAATCACTTGGTGAATAACTGCATAAACCTTGTATTTGTGCAACACCATAAAAGGCACGTGAAACAACAACAACATAATTATTTGGACAACGAAGAGAAACCGATGATGATGTACATGCATCTAGTGGAGGCATTGTTTGAACATATTGTCCATCTGTAAAAAAAATATATATTGTGCTATGTATAGAGTAAAAATGATTACTTTAGACTTGTTGGAAAAACAGATTTGCTTCTTTTTTCTATTACAACAATGATATTGGTAATAAAAAGTATAAATGTATTTTTGCTTTTTATTGACTAAATTATTATTAAAAGAAGATTATGCTGTTGTCTTACAAATTCTGTCTTTTTTTCGTTAATTGTTCTTATGTTATCAGTTGAATAGGTCTATTTCATTATGTCCACATTATATGATAAGACATTAATAACAATTAAAATAAAGAAAAAGGATAACATAGAACAAAAAGTCTATGGTCAATATTCTTGTTGTTCGTGTTAGTCAATATACTTAATGATAAATAAAAATAATCTAATTATCGTTTGGTCGTTGAATTAAATCTGTCAGTACTTCACACGATCAATACAGGTAATGACTTTTCAGCAATGTCACATATTCAGGAAATCAAGGATGTAGGAGCTGCAAAGGGTGAGAGTGGAAGAATGTATACAGGATGTTTCTCTGAGCATGAAAAGATACTAGACAAAGCAAAAAATTCCTTATCAAGAGATGACGAAAGATGGAAATGCATATCTTGCATCTTTCTTAGCGTCTTCTGCATTTCTGATTTCTGGGATATGTGACACCTCTCTATATTCTTTGAAAACTGAATAATCCTATTGTTGACAGATGTTTGAGTTAGTCTCTATCTTGTGAGATATTTTTCTTAGTACATCGAAATGAATTTATACTGGTATAAAAAAATCTTTTAACCAAGTTTCTATACCCTCACTTTTAATGTTAAAATCAATTGAATTGTTTTGAGAATATGGCTACCAGCAAAAGATGAACTGATCAATGTTGTTACTATATCATGAACTTACGGTTCTATCGTTTACACTTGTCTTTTCTTCAAGACTTTCAATGAAACTCTGTTAGACCTTAAAAGATACATTCTTTGGTAGTAATACTAATATAAAACTTGTCAGAATAAGTGTATAAAATGTAATCTTCTTGAATTAAATATTTCGGCGAAAAAAAGAACTCGTCTTTAAACTAAATAATATAAAGTTTGTTTTGTCTTGTTGTTCCCTCGACTGAAGGGAGGGTCATACGAAAAAAACTCAAAAGCGTTTGTGGCTCTGTCTGTGCCAGGGTCAAAAGAACACAAAGGTCAAAAAAACATAAGATCACCAAATCGGACTTTCACTCTTCGAAACTATCCAATCAGAAGTATTCGACCCCACGCTTTCGACCAATCAGATTCTTTCAAGCTAAAAAATTGCCCAATCAGGAGTTTTCGACCTCGCGCTTTCGACCAATCAGATTTATGCAAGCTAAAAAAACCTGCCAATCAAGGGTTTTCGGCCTCGCACTTTCGGCCAATCAGCTTTTTTCAACCTAATGAATCAGCCAATCAGGCGTTTTCGACCTTGCGCTTTCGACCAATCAGATTTCTGCAAGCTAAAAATTGACCAATCAGGGGTTTTCGACCTCGCGCCTTCGACCAATCAGATTTCTGCCAGCTAAAAATCGACCAATCAGGGGTTCTCGACCTTGCGCATTCGACCAATCAGATTTCTGCAAGCTAAAAAACCTGCCAATCAAACGTTTTCGGCCTCGCGCTTCCGGCGAATCAGCTTTTTTCAACCTAATAAATCAGCCAATCAGGAATTTTCGGCCTCGTGCTTTCCACCAATCAGCTTTTTTCAAACTAATAAATCAGTCAATCAGGGATTTTCGACCTCGCGCTTTCGACCAATCAGATTTCTGCAAGCTAAAAATTGACCAATCAGGGGTTTTCGACCTTGCGCATTCGACCAATCAGATTTCTGCCAGCTAAAAATCGACTAATCGGGGGTTTTCGACCTTGCGCATTCGACCAATCACATTTCTGCCAGCTAAAAATCGACTAATCGGGGGTTTTCGACCTTGCGCTTTCGACCAATCAGATTTCTGCAAGCTAAAAAACCGACCAGTCAGGAGTTTTCGACCTCGCGCTATCGGCCAGTCAGCTCTTTTCAACCTAATAAATCAGCCAATCAGAGATTTTCGACCTCGCGCTATCGGCCAATGAGATTTCTGCGAGCTAAAAAATCGGCCAATCAGAGATTTTCAACCTCCCGCTTTCGAGCAATCAGATTTCTGTAAACGAAAAAGCCGGCCAATCGGGGATTTTCGACCTTGCGCTTTCGACCAATCAGATTCTTTCAAGCTAAACACCGGCCAATCAGGAGTTTTCGACCGCGTGTTTTTGATCAATCAGATTCTTTCAAGCTGGAAAATCAGTCAATTAAGGGTTTTCGATCCCGCGCTTTCGACCAACTAGATTCTTCCAAGCTAAACAACGAGCCAATCAGAAGTTTTCGGCCTCACGCTTTCAACCAATCAGATTCTTTAGAGCTAGAGAACCAGCCAATCAGGGCTTTCCGAGTTCATGGATTCGACCAATTGGATTCTTTCGGGCTGGAAAACCAGTCAATCACGGGTTTTCGACCTCGCGCTTTCGATCAAACAGATTCTTTCGAGGTATAGAGCCACCCAATCAGAGCTTTCCAACTTCCGCGATTCGATCGATCAGATTGTTCAAGTTAGATAACCAGTCAGTCAGGGTTTTTCGACCTACGGTATTTGACCAATTATATTCTCTCAACCTAGAAAATCACCCAATTAAGGTTTTGACCTCGCGCTTTCAGCCACCCAGATTCCTTTGAGCAGAACAGCCAGCCAATGAGGCTTTTTCGAGTTCAGAGATTCGACCAATGAGGGTGTGGGTGTATGGATGTCAGTATGGCTGTGGGTGTGAATGTGGGTGTGGGTATACTGTGGCGCGGGTATGGGCTTTTTGTGGTGGTGGTGTGCGTGTGGACATGGGTGTGGTTATGGGTGTTGATGAGTCGGGTGTGGTTGTGGACTGTGGAGGTGCGGGTATGGATTGGGAAAAGACTGGTCTCAACATCTACGCCCATCCATATCGACATTCACCCCCACACCCACATCTGCCCATACCCACGCCATACTCGACCCTCACGCCTACGCCCACACTCCACACTCCCCACCCGCATCCTCTTCGTCAGAAATTCTAATTAATCCCTGACTTTCGATCGAGACAATTAGGTTGAAGAAATAAGGAATATTTCATAACAAAGTAGCGGTTCGGAACTGTCCATCGAGAATTCTCGTATTATAGACCTAAAGATTTTTCGAAGTAAGAGCAGTCTGGAACTCGATAGGGTGTAAGGTAAAGAGGATTATCTTTTGAGCGAATAAGATTACACGTGGCAGCGGCTAGCCGCGAGTGGCGCCCCGAAGGGGCGCCGACGAGCGACTAGCCGCTGCACTGGAAAGTTTCCTGAAGAAAGGCGTCAAGTGTTAGGATTGATCGGGAAAATGCCAAGAATCTAAATCTGATGGGCTTCAGTAAGGGCCGGAAGCGCCAAAAAACTAAAAAAATATTTTCAAGTTAAGTATGAAAACAGTTTTTCAGTACTGGCACTATATGTGAATAGTACATTAGACGAAAAGCAGCACGCAAAGAATTTATATTTACACTGTCGCAAGCAAAATTGAATGAAATAAAATGAATTTTTCTGTTGTTGTGTGCCCTTGTTGGTTTAGAAATTGTATTTTCTTAACTATATTGTCAGCTAATAGAGTATATATGGGGTTTAGATTGCGTCTTGACGTGTGAAAAAGATAAATTGATAGTGAATAGTACGACCTTTTCCAATTTTATGAAAATAATTATGAATTAAGTGACTTTTGTGCAAGGAAGAATCGGCGGATTGCCGGGACTCGGAATCCCATGGAAATCCTGGAAATCCCATATATACTTAAATTAGACGCCAGAACAATACTGAAAGTATAACTCATGTTCATGCATGACATATATCACTTCATTCATTTAATATTTTGCAAGGCATTCCTTTAAGAGAACCATGTGGAGGTATGGAAAATTAGCATGTGGATGTTACTGTATCGTGAGAATGGAAAGAAGACGTAAATTCCCACCCTCATTCATATCTTTAACGGAACATTCTAGGCTAAAGAAACGACTGTTTTCTCACGAAATAACGAGAGCCAACATTGTGGTATATACTACGATTATTTATACGTTTCAAATAGGTGAGAAATTTCAAACAGTTTGCACAATGACGCTCATATTGACTCATAGAAGGCGAATCGGACTACAACTTAAAATTTGACATAAAATATACAGCTACAATCCAACTAAGGGGCTAGTTCTGAAGACGAACTTGCTATTTTTTAATTTCATCCAATACTTAATGAGTTGTAGTTCTGCGATCAACACTATTCTTCCTACTTTTAACTATAATGATCTATCCATAAATATTAGTACAAGAATAAAAGAAGTAAATAATCTATTGACTTTTTACTCAATGATTGGAGCGATATGCTAACTGATTAGCTTACATTAGTTCACTATCTGGTTCATTCAATAAAATAGGCATGATTAATGAGGAAACGTAACAGATTAGTTCTGATCAATGTTGCTTTGGCTTTTGCTGCCATTTCATGGATGAAGGAAAATGAAACAGAAGAGTTTTTTTGTGCCTCTAGTATTGATGCATGTCTTACGAGAAAATTTGTGTAAACTTACAATGGAACTGTTCGTCATGCCAGTTGAATTACTCAACTATATTCGGGTAAAATGATAACTCTTAACGAGAAAATGCCAAATTAAAAATATGAGCCACTGATGACTAGCCTAGGTCGAGTTATTCAAATGTTAAGATATTGCCAGTTTAGGTATATGGAATCAGTCTAAAGTAACCACAATCTATTTTTACAAAAACTGGTCGATCGAGTTTATCAGGCTTTGCTCAAATTTAACGTATGTAGTATAGAGGAAGCTTTAAAAATAGAGAGATTATAGATAACACATTGAACGATAAAAAACTTAGCTCCCTAAGAGTCAATGCACGAAAGCTACGACACATCGTGCTCAATCGATGT